TGTACACCCGGTTTTTAAATGACGTGACAGACTGATTCTCTCATCCATGCTCTATTCCTGATTCTTCTTCTGCCGTCATCCTTATTCCCTCACTCCCCGTTGTTTTTATTTATTTCAGCCGCCATTCTTTTTCATTCTTTAGCCTCCATCCCATCATCCTAGTTCCTTTTATATTTGTTCTGTCTATTTTATTTTACTATTTCATTACTTTTTTCTCTTCTTTGTTTTTTCTTTACGTTTCTTTTATTTTACTTTTTCGTTACTTTTACTTTAGTTAGTTTACTTTTTTTGTCTTTTTTCTTTTTTTCTTTATTTTAAACTCAAATAATTATAGCGTCTAAAAAGAATAAATATATACAAATGAACATTTCAATTTTTGAAAACTCATTTTGTAAGTTATGTATGTCCATTTAGTACCTTTGTTATGCTCATTTTAAAATGTTTATCCATGCATATTTCAAAAGTCTCATATTACATTAGATTCGCATAGAATTTGATTATAGATACGAGACCACAAACCACGATACTCAATTGCATGATTCTAGTACCCAATAACGGAGGTCGATGCTCACTGAAAATATCTTGATGTTCAACAAACAAAATATATCATTTTCATATTAATGATCATCTGGTAAGTTACGAATGCTCATTTGTATAGGTCTAATGTTCATTAAAAATTCATTAATGTTCATTGATCTCAATAGAGGAGGTTTGATGCTCAATTAAAATGTCGTGATATTCCACTAAAAAATCTTATGATCTTCACATCAATGCGCATTTTGTAAGTTACTATGCTCATCCGGTAATCATCTTATACTCATTTTCTAAATGATATAATTTACACATGTTCATTTCTATAGGCCTGATGCTCATTAAAAATTCATTAATGCTCATTTAATACAAATCATGATTTTCATCAATCTCAATAGACAAGGTTTGATATGTATGCTCATTTGATTCTATACTCATTTTATAAATGTCTTATCAATACATATTTTAGAAGTACTACGGAGTATTTTATATTAGACTCCTAATGCTCAACATAATAGGTTTGATGTTCAGTAAAAGTTCATCAATACTCATTCACAAGAAACCGTGATTTTCATCTCAGTCGTGGATGTTTGATGCTCAATTAAAATGTCGTGATGTTCAACTAACAAACTTTACGATAAAAAAAGTGAATTAGAAGTTATGAAGCAGATATCACGATTCTGAATATTATACTCCTAATACTCAACAGAATAGGTCTGGTGCTCATTAAATGTTCATTATTATTTATTCTCCAGAAGTCGTGATTTTCTCGTGATTTTCATCTCAATAGTGGAGGTTGGATGCTCAATTAAAATGTCATGATGTTCAACTAACAAATCTTACATTTTCATATCAATGTGCACTTTATAAGTTATGTATGCTCATTTGGTACTCATGTTATGCTCATTTTTACAATGTTATGAAGCAGATATCATGATGTTCAATATTAGACTCATAATACTCAACAAAATAGGTTTGATGCTCGTTAAGAGTTAATACATGCTCATTTAACAGAAACTGTGATTTTCATACTCAACAAAATAGGTTTGATGCTCGTTAAGAGTTAATACATGCTCAAGTAAGAAAAGATTTGATGCTCAATGAAAGTGCTGTGATACTCAAATAACAAACCTGGAAATTTTCATATCAATGCGCATTTGGTAAGTTTAATTTGCTCATACGATATTTTTGAAATATGCATTGATATGACATTTTACAAATGAGCATAACATCGCTACCAAATGAGCATACATAACTTACAAAGTGCACATTGATATGAAAATCGCAAGAATTGTTAGTTGAATATCAAGACTTTTTAATTGAGCATCAAATCTCCGTTATTGAGATGATAATCACGGTTTCTGGTGAATGAGCATTAATGAACTTTTAATGAGCATCAGACCTATTATGTTGAGTATTAGAAGTCTAATATTCAGAATCGTGATCTCTGCTTCATAACTTCTAATTCGCTTTCTTTTTGTTATTTTTCCTTTTATAAAAACTTATTAAATTATATTTCTAATCAACTCCTGTGAATTTTAATATGTGAACCTAATGTAAAATAGTACTTTAAATCAAATGCATTGATATGACATTTAGAAAACGAGCATAAGATCAGTACCAGATGAGCATACGTAACTTACAAAATGTTCGTTGATATGAAAATCGCAAAGTTTGTTAGCATGCCATAACAACATATTTCATTGAGCATCAAACCTCATCTATTGAAATGATTGAGCATATAACCTCATCTATTAGGGCATCTTCATCCATGAGTTTATTTGAAGATCAATTGGATGATGTGTAAGATTATGTTAAAGTTTATCATTGTGAGTGAGAGATTATTTAGTGAGATTATTGAAAAAGAAAATCCGATATCAAGATTCCAATCCCGGATTATTTTAGATTATAGTTAAATTACATTTAATGCATGTCCGGAAAAAACTGATTATTTGAGTATTATTGTTGATGAAGAGTTTTAAACTTTGAGATTATTTAAAATTTATTAAATAAATGTGATGTGTCAATGATGTGTACTAAAAAAATGGTTTATTTAGAGAGCATGAATGGAGATGCTCTTAGAATGAAAATCACAATTTCTGTTAAATGGGCATTAATGAACTTTTAATGTGCATCAGATCTATTATGAGCGTTACAACACTTTCGATGAACATCAGACTTATTAGGAACCTACCAATATATAATAAAATTATAAATATATTTATATAAATTAATAGTATGATTCCTAGATCAAATAAGTACTTCAAAAATATGAATTAGTCTTTAAATATGGTAATAATGAGCAAAAGCAAAGAATAGTTAATATTATAATTACTATTAATAAACAATTGTAGTATGGAGTATAAAATACATAGGATAAGTACGATCAAAGAACGGATTTTGTCATGAAGGCAAGTTGGCGACATGGTCGGAAGGCTGTATATTGAGTTTCAGGTTTAGGAATCTAATCTCCCATTGCGTTTTACTTTTTAATGAAGGAATCCGGGTTTGGTACTAAGACCATTTGTAGTGGTTAGGAACAATTTGGACTCCGTCTATATGAAAACGGTGTTTCGACTCCGTCAATACTGTTTTTCCATGCATCCGTGCACCGTCAATAAAATACACTCAACATAATTTTTTACATATCAATTTAGTAAAACAATAATTAATTTATTATAAATAATGTTTTCCGTTTAATATTTCCCTAAATAATTGTGAAATAAAAAATACACATTTCGATATAAAAATAAATAAATTTCATTAATTTTTTTTAATGTTTTCGATTAACAAAAATTAACTTTGTTCAAGTAAAGTTCGATTATGAAATATTCAGTTATTTGTGAAGATTCCATGAATTAAAAATTTGTGTTTCATCATTTTTTAGACTGAAGAAAACTTCAACAGTTAAAATTTAAGAATTTTTGTTTCATTTTATATATTACATATTGGTGTCATATGAAAGATCATAAAATTTAATGAATTTTGATATATATTTTGAAAAATTTGGAGAACAAACAAAAAAGTTATACAAGTTTCTATAAAAAATTGGGATATTATGATGCAACAATAATGTCAGCACGACATCAGATTCACCAAAAGCAACCCTTTTCATAAAATTTTACTATTTTTCTTCATTTTTTCTTTCTTTTTCCCTTTTTCCACTCCTCTCAACACACCCTCTATATATAACTCCTTTCATCCCCTTTTCCACTTTTAATACCTATTTTAAACTACCACTACACAGTACACACAATTAGGAGTCCAAAAATTTCACATTTAGCCATTTGGACTCCTAATACCTCACCACTCCAAATGGTCTAAGCAAAGAGTTAACCGGTTTTTAAAAATCGGATGTATGTACATCCGGGTGTACAATATAGGAGCCCCGTAAGAATTGTTTGTTTAGCCTTCCTTCACCAACTCCGTCCATATACTTATCCTACTCGTGATATATTGCCCAAAATGTGTTGAGTTAATTGACATGTACATATCCATTTTTGCTATCCTTGTTAACTTAACAATCGAGGGTGGCTCTGCCTATGCTGGAGATTTCGATTGATTAATATTTTACTCCCTCCGTTTCTCTGTTATTGTCTCATTTCCTATTCACTTGGTCAACACAAATCACTCTTAATCTTTTACTTTATGTACCAAATTTTTATCAAATTTGATAATGTAGTTTCTGAATATGTAATTTTCTTTTTCTAAAAATAATTTGAGTGCGGACAAGGATCTGTTTGCTTTATCGTCGGTCAAGCATCGTAAACCGCAATGGGACAATAACAGGGGGGGTGGAGGGAGTATGTTTTAATTTTTCCTTCAATTCTCAATTGTAACTTATACACTTATAGTTCATATTTCAAATAAATACACATTCATTTTTTTATATGTAACACTTCTCAAATTTATTAATTGGTTATAACTTACAATTTATTTGTCTAAAGCTGTTTTTAAATTAAAAATAGGTTTACAATATGTAATTTGTATAAATACACATATTTTGTGACATTTGTAAATTCTAAATCACACTACTTTTCTTAGTTTCTAAGTAAAAAAAAACTTTACTTAATTCATTAAATTAATTAATTAATTTTACATTATGTAATTTATTCAAACTAAAATAAAAAAAAAATTGAAATCAAAGGCTCAAGCCTCAAGGTCCCAAATGGCTATATAGCCGTTGGGTGCTTGAATCAAGGGTGTCCCGGGGGTAGGGGTACAAAAATTTCTATAAATACTCCTATTTTCCAACATTTTTATACAAATCTTCTCCGATATCCAATCTCCGATCTCCATTCTCCATCTTCATCTCCATCTATTCTAGTATTTATAGAATTATTATATCTACCGGTTTTAAGATGGAAAGTCAATATGCCGTTATCGCGTATAATTTTTATACGCAGAAGGACCCGAGGACCGGGATGTGGTACTGATGAAGTATTAACTCCTAGAGAGAAGTGAGAGCTAGAGAGAGAAGTGCAATAACTCCTTGCAATAAATGATTTGTGGACCTCCTACAACTACCCGAAAGGGGAGTATTTATAGAGGAAATTAGGGCTGAACTCCCAAGTCTTGGGCTTGGAGGGCCAATTTACAATTGGGCCACTATCGGGTTGAGTACAAAATAGGTAAAAATAACTAAGTGTGAAATCCGGTTCTGGGAGCCCTTTGTGGCCGACGGAGTCATGGCCGACGAAGCCATGGCCGACAGAGACACCCGGTTCTCCTGGCTTCTGGACCATGTTCTGAGTTGATATCTTTCTGGCCGATGGAGGGCCATCTGGCCGACGGAGGCCCCACTGAATAACAAATGTGCCTCTTATTCTTCTGAATATGTGGGTCCTGGGGTCCAGATCAATATACTCCATCAGGTACGCAACTTGCAAATGGTGCGGGGAAAGTGTAACTTGGGGGTTTCACGTGGATACGAGATGACCAAGAAGCATATTAAGTCATATGATAAAGCCAAAGGACCAGGAAATTCCGATTGATTACAAAATGTATTTCATATTGTATTTTTTTCTCAATTGTCAAATGTAGTTCCTATTTCATTTCAAATAAATGCATTTGAAGTTTGTTTCTAATACTTCTATAAAACTATAAAGTATACAACAACAACATCTAAGCCTTAGTCTCAAAAGATATTGGGGTCGGCTAACATGAATCGATACATGATATCACAATATTCATATTTCGATTCATATCATGTGATGTGACTAAGTGATACTGTTGGCCGTCACACGCCTACCACAACACTCTCCTGCTTTATCCTGGCTTGGGACAGACATGATACCAAAAAAATGATATCATGCCAGAGTTATAAAACTATAAAGTATAAATAAGTAAAAAAAATGATTTACCCGGCCCGACCTGGCCCGGTGGGTCACCCGACCCATGACCCGGGCAGGTGGCCCGGCCCGCACCGAAACCGTTCTTACCTCGGGCCGGTCCCGGACCCACCTATTATAAACCGGAGGCCCGACCCGAGCCCGAACTAGCTCGAGTCCACCACTATTGTTAAGTATCTATTTTCTCGTATATACTTTACTCTATCCCATATCACTAACGACACTAAGAATCTATCTTCATGAAGCTAAAATATGCATTCCCTCCGTCTCATTTCACCTGTCTTACTTTCTTTTTTGAGTTGTCCCAAAAAAGTGTCACTTTTCCCTTTTTGAAAAGAAATATGTGGTTCACAACATTTCACTTATTCAAATCTCAACCACAATTTTTATCTTTTCAACCACTTTATTAAAAATAGTGGTGGACTCATGCCGGTTCGGGTCCGGTCGGGCCTGCGGTTTGTAATTGATGGGCCCGGGACCGGCCCAAGGTAAGGACAGTTCCGGTTCGGGCCGGGCCACCCGCCCGGGTCACGGGTCAGGCCACCCTCCGGGCCGGCTAAATCCAATTTTTTTTACTAATTTATACTTTATAGTTTTATACAAGTACTAAAAACAAACTTCAAGTGCATTTATTTGAAATGAAATAGGAACTACATTTGACAAATGAGAAAAAAAAATACAATATGAAATACATTTTGTAATCAATCGAAATTTCCCGATCCATTGGCTTTGTCACATGACTTAATATGCTTCTTGGTCATCCCGTATCCGCGTGAAACCCCCAAGCTACACTTTTTCCCGCACCATTTGCAAGTTGCGTAACACATCCCGATCCTCGGATCCTTCTGCGTATAAAAATTATACACGATAACGGCATATTGACCACATCCCGCACCATTAAGAGTATTTATAGTTTTTTTACCCCACCCCCACCCCCCACCCTCCCCCGACCCCCCGCCAGAACTCCAAACTTCTTCCCATTGTTGGGACACGCCCGAGGGAAAACCAAAGCAAGAGCAATTAGGGGTGTATCTGATTCTGATTTCGAACCAACGGAAGTGTAAATCCCCAAAGTCCAAACCAAAACTCCAACTACAGTCACACACTCGCACTTCCTTCAAAATGGGACCAGCTCAATTTTTGTTGTAATTCGGTATATGATTTGGAAGAAATAGATATGATGTTTGGCCAAACCGGTATTGGAACCATACTGTACCAAAAAATCGATCAGCCTTGCGTAGAGAGGGTGGGGGACTGGAAGTCTGGAACCATGAACAAGCACCAGCTAACCCAGTTCCGTTAAAACTCTTGATTTGATGACCAAAATCAGAAATGAATCAAAACCAGCCCATGTCCATTCATACTCGCGAGTCGCGACTGGTTGGGTTTAAGTGGACTCATGCGGGGTTGGAGGCAATCAGGGGATTTCAAAACTAAACTGACAAGTTGTGCTTCAAATCAAATAAATAACTTGTACAATCTCAGCAGATAACAGTGTAGGTTGGCAAAAAGCATGAAATTGTGGACAAAAAAGACAGGCGCAACACAAAAGCAGGAAATAAAATTACAACTTATTACTGGAATGTCCTTAAATGAGGGATCCATCTACAAAAACAAGCACATTGAGGAGGCACACCCATGGATAGAAGAGTGGATATATTTCTTTGTTTGTATTTTTCTTTTAAACCATAACTCATATCCATGGACAGACAGCCACACTAGCTTCAAAAAACTAGTACCCCACACCCTATGCTACTACATGAATTGAGAAAACTATGGTACATTTTGCCATCAAATGATGGGAATATACAAGGGAATAAAATGAAAGAATCGGTTCTAGATTTGCATACCGAGAGGAACATTTGCATCTATATCCGCACCAGGGACCAGTGAGCCACCCCTGACTTGTCAGCATAGGAGCTGGAGAAAATATACGAAATACAAACAGAACCACTTGGAGCAATACTCAACCAGATTTGAATGCTTGTGCTGTGGGAGTTGGTCCTACAGCCTTCATGACTAGTTCTATCCGTCATCAGTTCTTGTACTTCACAATCTGACAACATACTTGTACTATGTACACCCTGATTATGCTAAACAAATTGATTATACTGAACTTCCAGCAGCTTCAGAAGCATTTTGCCGCATCATCTCCATTACAGCAGCCCGGCGCCTTGATTCAGCTTGCTGTTGCAGCCTCCTTAGATGTTCTCGCAAATCCCTGTTGATGTTTATATGTTTAAAACGTTATTGTTCAGATTGGGATAATGGTAGTCGTTTAAAATATGGAGAAAAAAAAGGGATGAAATGGCATCTAGGTTTGTGAGGGACATGATTAGACAACGACCTGCACCGCGGGACAGCGCAATCTGCATCTTTGCATGCCCGTGCATGAAGTTGAAGAAGATACCACATCTTCTTGCAGAGAACGCAGCCTGCAGAAGCACGCTTTTTGCAGAGCATCGCATGCCGGAAGAGACCCTTAACCTTGCGACAATTGGGATACTGACACTGTGGAGATCGACACCTCGAAGCATGCACCAGAAGATCAAGCATTTTCCTAAGCTGCAGAGTCAAAACGAAAAATCGCATCAGACCTTGCATGTCAAGGAGACAACTGGTCAACATGCATGCAGCTCACAGTTAATAATAACAATTAACAGATAAACAAGCTAGCAAAAGGAACCATAGTTGAAGTAGCATATGAAACACTCATTATGAGTTTGAAACATAGTCAGTAATATACCTGAAGAACGCGTAGCTGCCGAGCTTCCTTATTTTGTGCATCGCGGTCAGCAATGGATGGATAATTAGTCAGCTTATGAGGATGATCGACTCCACTGTCCTTCTGATAACAAGCATTGCAAACATCATACTCTGGACAAACCTCACATCGCCAGCCTTGACCAGCTTCAATATCAAGATGGCATATGTTGCATGTGGTCACAAATGCAGGAGCAGTGGGATTGTGAAGATGGTATAGGACCATCATCGAAGAATGTTTAGCACGGCGGAGGGTATCGTATTGGTAGTGGTTTCCTTGACAAAGGCTCAAAAATGCTTGTCTTGTATCAAAGAACTCACTCTCTAAAATATCATCTTCATCCTTTGTATCAGCAGACACATCATTGATATCAACCTAACACATTCAAATCCATACCTCTTATACTCCCACTCATGAACTTCACATTAAGGTTATCTCATCGACTATGTAGCAGAATAGCTTACCGGATAAAATGTATGCTTGTCTTTTTGGTTGATAGGGTGCCTCTCTCTGTCATCAAGTTTTTGCTCGGCTTCATAGCACCTGGAAGCAAAAAAAGGACAAACAATAACCTTCAGAAAGAATAGCACAAAACAATAGCAGCAAGTTGAACTTGAGAGGTATCATTCTATCAGGTATTGCAAACTAACATACCTTATCCAGAATGAAACCCCAATTATTATTATTATTATTATAAGATGAAAAAGGCTAATGTGATGAACTAAAAAGTACCAAAACAACCTGTGTTATTATAGGTAAAGACAAAGTAATACCAAAATGTCTACCATAAATGGAGATGGTGGAATAGATGTTTTCATGCAAATAAGAAGATGTCCACAACCCACCTATTAATATTGCTAAAACCATACCAGTATTAATCTAAAACTCTGACATCTTGAGAAGGATATACCTTTAGTGAAATAAATCCTATGCCATCATTTGTTGTTAAATGGTTACATGCTAGAAACCAAAAGATACTTGCAGCTTAGTAAATTACGCACAACTGAAACAGTTCAACAAGACCAAGGATAAAGACAGAGAGAGGGATGCACATGCTTACTTGTCACAAAGCTGAAATTTTTTGCATTGATTGCAGACCCAACGTGTTCCACATACCATGAGAATGCAGCAATGACTGCACGCATGTTGCAAGTGAACCATAATAAAATCCTCCTTCATTGGGCTGATTGTTTCACCAAGCTGAAAAGGCACAGATCTGTGTGAATATAATTATCTACAAAAATTGGGTTTAGACTGTTAAAATAGATCTATCCACTTACTATTGCAGGGCTGCCTGTTACTCCCTTTGTCCCAATTTATTTTACATGTTTTCTTCTTTAGTCAATTTCCATCATTTGCAATGGAGCCAAAGATTCATTATTTTTTGGCTTGAGATTATGATGGAATAAATCAAAATGGCTCACTAAACTGTCCGCGCTTCTTTGTAATGAAGCAGCCAGCAGTCAGTCCATGCAATTTTGGACGCGATTTTCACTATGGGTCATCCGGAAACAATCTCTCTGTGCTTTAGTATAGGGGTAAGACTGCGTACATCCGACCCCCCCTTACCCCACCGTAGGTGGGAGCCTTTGCGGCACTGGGGTAAATGAAAATGATGAAAAAATGATGTTTTCTTCTTTAGTCTCTCACTCTCTAAAAGTAATTCGGACATTCCTAATTAAGCACTACTAAGTTTTTACTTTTCATAATTCGCCCTAGCTACCTTTTAACTTTTTCAAGAACAAGTTTCACCATGTGTGCCGTATACCAATTTTAGGGAACTTCAGGAAATAGACTGATTCATAATTGATTTTTTTTCATTAAACACTGCTAAAAGTATATGTCCCTTATACTTTGGGATGGAAAGACTTAATATATGTACCAACAGTGAGACTGAAAGAAACAATTGTCTATCTAGGAAATTATAATGAAATGGGAAAAATTCAAACTGATATTATGTAGCATCACTTTGCAAGGTCAAGTATAGCATCTCCCTCATGACTTAGAAAATGAAATCCCTACTCCCCTCATGATTACCATCTGAACTAACTATACTACTGTTGTATTTTGGGAGTGAATATGATGAAAACAGAAAAATAAAAATCAACGGAATAATCCGTTGCCCAGAATAATCTTCTAATCAACGATAGAAATCGTTGCCCAGAGCCAAAAGGCTAAACTCCAATTTTATTCATAGATGCTCAAGAATGAATCATACAAGGGGTTTGAATAACCTTACCTTCTAATGACAGACTCAATAGAAACCTTAATCGAGCCCAAATTAAATAAACCCTAATCGAGCCCAAATTAAATAAACCCTAATCGAGCCCAAATTAAAAAAAAAAACCTAACTAGGCCCAACTTAACTCTACTAAATACTCTACGAATAATAGGCCCAAACTAAGGAACATATCATAAACTTTATAATAATAAATAAAACTATAACCGCATCCCACAGGCCACAACCAGCCCACGGAGGTGGGCCTGAGCCCGTCCCCGCACCCTTCTCTCTATCAGTTCACCCCCTTCAAAATAACCTTGTCCTCAAGGTTGAAATCTCGTACTTCGAAGGCTGAAAATTCCAGCCATAGAATAGACAGGAAAATACCCTTCATCTCATTCCGGACCCCCCTGGACTTTCTGAACCTTTTCCTGGTCGGTTATTTCTAAAATAATCATGCTGTTGGAGATCCAACTCCTCATCCTCCTCCGCTATCATTACCCGTAATTTCTGAAAGGGACAGTCATGCCCTGGTGTAAATGGTTTCTTACACCTAAAGCATAACCCTTTTGCCCGCAACTCTTCTAACACCTTTGGCGGAAGTCGAGTGAACTTAGAGCGTGCAGTAGGCTGCTCAGACAGCCCTGACTGTGTCCCGGGGGCTGCCCACTATCTTTCGGAAAGCTGCCACTCGATCCCTGTATGCTGCCACCACTCATGGTCGTGCTATTGCCCCCACTTGGATGCGAAAAACTGCCTGAACGCACTTCTGTCTTGTAGGGTTGGCTTTCCCAGTCTTCATCTTCAAAGGACAGATTGTCCTCAATATCTCTGGCCAATTCCATTGCTATCTCCAGGTT